TCCAAAGCCAAGGTACATAAATATTTCTTCTCATTAATCCGAACAAAATCAGATATTTTTATTTTAACATAGAAATTTTAGTTAGCCATATTTTAGAATATACTATTGCACTTTGAAACTTCAATGTGTGTTTAAACATTTCAGTATTATTTAAATCATTTGATCATACCATTTCATCTTCCCTGCAATGGGCATGGAATATACAGGTGTTGGAACTGGGGACACAAACTTCATCGAAATATATATCAGTTAACTGACAAATTTGGGCTTCTGAATCATTCTTTCTTCCTTTATAAGACTTCATATTCTCACAAATTATGGGTTGAACCATTAAATATCTTTCCTTCTGTTCCTCTTGCAAACAGGCAAATTTGGAGAAGATGTGTCGTTCCCTGGAAGATCAACTCAGTGAAATTAAGACAAAGGAGGAGGAACAGCAGCGCATAATTAATGACATTAGTGCTCAAAGAGCTCGGCTACAAACAGAATCTGGTAAGACATTCCTGTTTTTAAGAGAATACTGTATATTATCTGGGTTCTTAAAAAAAAGAGTAAAACTCACCTGGAGTCTTGGAGGATTGGACATGCACTAAGTTGAACCTGAGCCAGAAATGTGGTTTGTGATGAAGCTGGCCAATAGAACCCTGAGTGAATCCTGAGTTGCTTTAAGAGAGCATTGCCAATGGGTTAGCAGAGAGTAATCGTTCCCCCTACTCATCACATGAGGCCTTGCTGGGATTGCTTGGCCTTGTTAAACCTCCTGAGATTCCCATGGGCCATAATCCCTCTGGATGGCACTGGAATACTCATTCTGTAAACTCAAGGCTTAATGCAAACAAAGAGTAAGGCTGGTGGTAGTTTACATGATGTGTCATTTGTAGCCTCTAAGAGATGTGAGTATCAGTGATTAGGAATCCAGGAAAGAAGTAAAAGTTTGTTTAACTCAAAATATTTGTATATGGGCATTTATTATCAAAATGAAAATTTTTACGTAAGTCATAACAAATTTTTTTTACTCATCTGAACACTCCCAGGTGAATTTTCACGTCAGGTAGATGAGAAAGATGCTCTGATTTCTCAACTCTCAAGAGGAAAACAGGCTTTCACCCAACAGATTGAGGAACTGAAGAGGCATCTAGAGGAAGAAATAAAGGTAAGAAGGCTCTCCAAATTCTGAGTTGTCCATTGGACTCCTTCTGTCTAGGAGGAGCTTTGCATATGAATGAAATTACAGAATCAGCAAGATGAAAGGGAGGGAAAAAACCGCTGAAGTAATACAGAGCAAGCCTTGCCATACTAGTTTTGTTCCTTCTTCTTTTCAGTTTATATGTTAATTGTTTTGCAGATTCCCAGACCTCCGATTTCCATTCAGTAGCTTGCCATTACTCATAGCAGAATCTGTGCATTTCTGCCAGGAGATCTCCAGGATATTTCCATTCATTGTCCACACTGCTGTTCTTCCCACAGGCCAAGAA